TGGAGGCCAGCTGCCAGTGCTGCTGGGCTGGGCAAGGCCCTCGGGAACACTCTCAGCAGCGAAAGCTTCCAGTCCGTACTCGGGTCTTGGTTCCAGAAGGATCCCTTCATCATTTCATGCTACTGACTAGACAAGATAGAAAGAAGACCTAATAAGGGCTAAGGACAAAAATTTAATAATCAGTGAAAAAGAAATTATGTTACTTTCTATAAATTTGCTAATTCTTTGATTAGTTGGCAGGAGGAATTAGTGTCCCACGAAGTTAGATGTAAACTTTAAGCTAGTTGTACCTGTGACTCGGAGGGAGGGAGGGAGATACCTGCGATGGTTTGTTGCTTCTCCCCGGGTGACTGCTCCGTGCGGAGAGGGGCTGTGCTGCTGCCACACGGCTGCACTCTCTGTTTCGTGGTTGTGGTCACTGAAAAACAATATTATTTAGTGGCTCTTTCTTGGCTCGCTTATTAAAGGTGGAATATGGGCCTGCAGGAAGGGCGAGGTCTTCCCTCTTGCGTTTCTGAACCTGACGTCATCGTCGGTGGCTCTTCGAAGCCAGCGCTGGCCTGGGGACGCTGTCCCGCTGCCACCGGTGGCTGCGGAGGACATCCCGGGCTTCGGAGGCGGAGAGCTGGCTTTGCGAGCTGTGACTTTGCGTCCCTGATAAACCGGTTGGGTGTGCAAAGAGCGCTTCAGATAAGTGTGTGAAAATTGTTTTGCACTTCACATAACGATACATGGTCTGCGGGTGACCGTATTTAAAATGGAAACAAACTTCTGCTAGCGTGATACTGAGCCAGCCCTGCTTTTCACGCCAACGGGGAAAAAGGAGGGAAAGGCGAAATCAAACTTTCAATGAACCTAAGGTTCTGTGGAAGTTCTGTTCTGTTCGATGGCTAAAGCCATTCAAAAGCATCCAGTAAATTTGTAGTAGGATAATGAAAGGTTCTGTTGAACACAAATATGTAATAATATCAGAAGGAACGTAGTGTTTTCTAAAGATAATTTCTATAGGATGCATTTAGTGATTCTCAATAGCTAAAAGTGAATTTACAGAATTTCGTAGTAATATGATTACTGTTGCCTGGGTAGGAACAGTTCTGTGCACTCGGAGTTGATCGCTGTTCTTGTGACTGTGAGTAGTTCAGTGGTTTTAACGATGTGTGCGTATCCAGTTGTAAGTACTCTAAGTGTTCCTGGAAGTTGCTTGGAGTCCCACCACCGGCGGTGGCTGGGTTAGGAGTGCGTGCTCCCTGCTGCCACGCCAGAGCTCTGCTTCCCGTCACGCCGGTGGGCGAGGGTGGCAGGAGCCGGGGGAACGGACGGCCCGGACGCCTCTGTCTCCTCTGTCTTGCTCTCGACTGAGCCGAGTTAAGGACTGGGGAGAGACACCAGGGAGTCCGTGCAAGCTCAGTGGCGTCATGCAGATGCAGAAACCAGTTGTGTTTTCTCTTAAACGGGTTTCTAGGCCAGAGAAGGAGACCGAGACCTGGATCTATGTGAAGGAGGAGAAGGCGGCTGCTCCCCCGTTGCTTCTGCCCCGGTCCGTTATGGGTGGTTAATCGCCGTGGGCCGTGTGTGTGGCACTGCTGCTGTCTCGCTGCTTTTCCGAGGTGTCCTGGAACACCGGAGCCTGCTGGCCGGCTGGTGGCTGAGCACCAGCGAGCTGCCAGGCGAAGCTGTTGTTAAATGGGGGTTGCCTGAACCAGAAAATCTTCACGTGGTTGGAACTGCGAGTGGCTATTCCTACGTATCAAAGTAAAATCATTTCCGACAGACTGTTCTATTTATAAACAGCTGCATCTGTTGAACACAGTCTGTGCTCACAGCTGTATCACTGGGCGAGGTTATGGCGGGTAAACGTGGTCTGCTCAGCCTGCTTCCTCCTCAGGGCCGCGCTCCTCGTCGGCGCACGCTGTGCCACGGGGATGGGATGGGATTCCACCCGGCAGGGCTGGGATCGGTGCCTGTTTATATGCATTGCTTGGGCTGACTTGGGATTTGGGATCAGCCGTTTGCTAAGATGTGTTAGCGGGGTACCAGGCTGAAGCGCTGCCCTTCGGTAGCGTCGCATAGACTCGCTCTTAAAGGTGCATGAAACTTCCTGCAAGCTGCCAGTGAAGAGCATCCATTCCCCTGTGGAAAACAGGGCTGAAGAGGATGGTTTGAAACCAGAGGCCATGCTAGCCGTGTAAATGCAGCCACTTTGTCGACCCTCCTTCATGAGAGGCACGCGCAGTATCAAAGGCCCTTTTGGAAACAGAGATGGCTCGTCTCTTGCGCACTCTGATAAAGGACGGAAGACTCTGCCTGCTGAAGAATTTTGTGTAACACCATGAACGTGAGCAGCTCTGTGTGCTTCTGTCGGAGCAGGCAGCTGCTGTGGGTAGTAGTTGCTGCTTAAGGTGAGGTTAAAATCTGTTGAAGAATGCGCTGCTGTAACTGGAGCCGTCCTGCACTGTCCTTGTTCCCTGTCATTGCTGGTGGGATTTTGCAAGACTCAGGAAAACCCCAAACAAAACCAAACCCCATCCAAACAATAAAACCCAAATAATTGCTCGCTAACAGGATGTCATTTCAATCAGACACAATATTGCTGTTTGTGTGGAAGAAAAGTTTATCTATCTTGTATGTGTTTTCCTAAACAAATAAGTATTACAGTGCTTGCAGTTTATGTTCCTGTCAAAGTATGTAAGTGGCTTTAGTCTTAGTCTTGCTGAGGATTTGAGTGTTATGATATTTTGGTATGTAATTATTAAACACCTTATGTTCCGCAAGTAGTTCAAGCAGATAATGTGCCATGAAATTAAAGTCAAATGCCTTAAAAAAAAACCCCAAACCAAAAACCCTGAAAGTGGATGAATTTTGCCTTTGGAGGCATTTCAGAAGTTCAGCTGATGAAGTTTGGTCAAGAAAATGAACTTTCTGTGCATGGTGAGTCTTGCGGTAGGTTGTTAAACGGATTGCAGGGTTAGAGGGAAGTCAGTGTAGTAGCTGAGGAACCCTGACAGCAGCTGGGGAAACTCTCTGAGCAGGAAAAGAGCATCCTGGAGTACCTCCAAGTCCTCTGTAACAATAGATGGGTAATCACGGTGAGCAGCCAAGTAGGAGAGATCATGGGTGAGCTAAATTTATCTGTGTTTTATAGATCTAGCAAAGGTAGGGTAAAGCAGCATTACAGCGAAGGAGTCGGCACCAAACAAATCTGAATCAGCATTAAAGAATTCAAAGTTTATGTGTAAGCTGGGGTTGGAAAAAGGTGTGGAATTGTACGTGTGAAGGTGTGAGTACACTTGTAAGAGCTGTGAACAGCCTTGTCCGGATGGATGTGTGAGTGTTTGGGTATTTTTCTATGGACGGTGGACCTCTACTGGGAATACTGTTAACTTCTGATGATCTTCTTAAACAATAGAAAAGATTTATTACTTTAGTATTATGGAAGTCAGGGAAATGAGGCAACTGGAAATTTCTGATGAAGGTTGTGTGCATGTAAGGTTAAGGGGAGGTGTTCACGCTGCCGTTTCCACTGATTGCTGATTGATAAAGCTCTGCTGTAGTGGAGTATAAAACGATGAAGCTGGCCATCCTACTTTTCTTGTGTCTTTATATTCCTTTACATTCATGTGTGTTGGTAACATGACCTGATGAACAACGTGGAGTGAAATTAAAGTTGCTTTGCATTCAAGTGACGTTACTGAGGGTTCCAGTTTGCTTTGTGTTAGACCGCGTGTGCTCTGAAGTGTCAGTGAGCTTGGTGCAGTGGATTCGTGCTGTGGGCTGGGAATTCCGGGAATGTCAGGCTTTCCTGGGCACCCTGTGCTGGACAAGCCATCCAGGTTCACTCCCTGGCCGGGGCCGGGAGCCAGTGCTGCGTACGACAGCGTGAACGCGGCGGTGTTTGCAGCAATGGGCGCAGTGGGGTTACAGCGTGAAACTGGGCGGGTGCTGAGGGCTCGGTAGCAATCTGTCTTTGACCCCGAACATGCTCATTAGTCTGACAATGGTCTTTTTTTTTCCTCCCTTAGGGCTGAGAAAACGGAGGTACTCAGTGAAGACCTGTTGCAGGTACTACAACACAGCTAATATGTGGGTTTTAAGCTGGTGTTTGTGAAGTTCGAGCCTTCTGAGTTTTGTGCAGTCCCTAATGGGGGGGGAGGGGGGACACTGCAAATGGCAGGGATGAAAACAGAGAGATGTCTTTGGCTTCTCAGCACATGAAAAAACTATGGTACAATTTGAGTGGAAAAACTCAGGTGCTTCTGTTTCTGAAGCCTGTCCTGTGGCTTGCTAAAGTGAAGGAGGGAGCGTTGCTGCGTTTGGGTGGGCGACTGGCTGGGTAAGCTCGTGAAGCTGGCGTGCGAATGGCTCCCCAGTCTGGTGCAGGGCAGCGAGCTGGGAAGCAGCTCTGATGAGGCACGGCTGGTTTCTGTCTGCATTTCTGCTTCTCTTGAAGAGGTCAGTGTGGGCCTTAAGAGAAGTGGCAGAAAACATGCCAACTGCTTGCTAATAGCTAATGTCAGGATTTTTCTGAAAGCCTGGAATTGCTCCAAATAAACGTATGAATGCCTCTTGGTTAGCTTGCAATATTTGTTCTCAGATTTGTCAGGCTGATGTCTGATTTGTTTGCAGACCTGTCATCTTTTTAAAAGTATGCAATCTAATCAGCCATTGCTTTCATGGTGGAATCTTAGTTGTAACTGTTAGATTAATAAGGTTGACTGACTACGTGGAACAAATTTGATTACAGACTTGTTCTACGTAGGTTTTTTTTCCTCTGGTTACTTTTTTGAAAGACTTAAAAAAAAAAAAGGCAGGACATAAATTGGCAAGGGAAGGAAGTCGGGCTAGCTGCTCCACGGGACCTGGACTGCACTGGTTATTGCAGAGTGATTACAAAGCATCGGAGTGTGCCTAGGGTCAGGACCTCTCTCTGAAACGTGGAAGCCAAACAAATTATGCAACTACTTTTATTCCAAACCTTTCCTGTTCTTCTGATTAGAGTAGAAGATGAGAGAATGTATTAGCTTTAAAACTTGGGTTCAGCACAAATACGTGAAATCATCATGAGTAATGGTGAGATGAGCTGACCTGAAGCATTTTACCCTGCTTTTCAGGGCCTGCTTTTTTGAACCATAAATGCTTTAACAGTTTGACAATACTGTTTTTAATTTATAAAGATATGGATACAGTTAAGTGGCATAAAGGATGTTAAAACACCTTGATAGCCTTCAAGGGCCCATCTGTTTTCTTGGTTAGCTGTTACTGTTAGTAACAAGAAATGAAAGCCAAAAGTACTGCTGCTTGTTGCCAAAAAAATTTTGCAAGCAAGGCTTTCCCAGGCACAGAGCAGACTGGCTACACCCAAGAGGAAGAATTTACTCACTTGTTTGTTTGCTCTTGGGGGCTTGTGGAGGGGAGGGAGGCTCTTATCTAACTAAAGAGCTTAAAAGCATGGTACTGTTCACTTCATAAACATGCTTCACAGTGTTCTTTTTTATATTTAGCTCAAGCTTTCACATAGGATTGCCGTAGCTTTTTTCTGTTTTTTGAAGTGTAATACCCCGTTTGGAGTATGTCAGTTAAGTGCGTTGCTGTCTGAAGACAAGGAATATCATTCAGTACTGGCAAGGCTTCTACAACAGACCCGCTTTCTGGGTGCCCTGTAGTGCAGAAGAAAGCAATTGTGTGCTGCTTGGCACAGTGAGGATGCCCCGGGGGTACAGACAGCGTGGCCTGTAGGTCGCATGCTCAGTTCAAAGGTGGCTAATGGAGATTAATGTCTCTCATGGTTTTCTTGACATCTTTGAACTAAAAAGCAGATCGGAGGGGAGAGTATATCGTGAAGTTTTGGGGTCATGTTCCTCCAGTCAGTCTTCAGCCCGTGGAATTTGGCATTCCAGCTGCCTGGGGAGAGGCTGTTGGGAATATGTGTGCTCCAGAGTCCGTCTAGGGAGCGTAACCCCGGGCACGGCTGGCAAGGGTTCCAGCAGTCTGCTGGGGTCTGCGAGGTGGTTCGCTTGCAGGATGTTACCATGTTTCAGGTACAGAGAAAAAAGTCCTCAGTGTTTTAAGAAGTCTTAACTATGTGACCTTGCAAAAATAAATGCTTTCACAAAATGTGGGCTCGGTATTTTAAGAAGTCTTAGCTACGTGATCAAGCAAAAATAAGTGCTTTCAGAAATAGTAGATGGTTTAGAATGTGTTGGTGGTATTTTGTCTTGAGGATAACACAACAGAAATGAATCGTCTTAGCTGCAACAGCAGACCACAAACATTACCTTCTCGGCCATCCGTCTTCATGTGGACTTCTTTGAAGCGAACTTAATTTTGGGCTTGTCGATATATGCTCTGTAAATAAAAGGCAATGCCTCGTGCTTTCAGAGCAGTCCTTCCTGGGCAGTTTCTGTGCACCTTACTCTACTGTAGGAGATTTTACTGAGCTTTTTGAGCAGATTCATCTTATGGTTGTCAAAAGCTTTTAGTCCCTTTAGTGCCTGGTGTAGCCATTGAAACTTCAGTCTTCCTACACTGGCCATCTAAATCGTTAGCCCTGCTATACTGGTTCTTCTCCGCCTTCCCATCGGGCTGGCAGAGCCTGGCTGTGGGTGCTCCTCCGGACTACAGCTTAGCAGAACTGCTGCTCCCTGCTCTGAAGGCAGACGGGGAGCCCAGTCCCGCGCTCGCTCATGCGTTCAGGGCCGGGCTCCCGTGGCCAACAGCGCTGCTTCAGTGCTGGCCCTCACCAAGTCCCCGTCTCGCTGCGCCTTCCTCCATTGGCGTCTGCTTGGTCGCAGCTGCCCCCAGCCCACCCCCTGAAGGCTCCTCTTCTGCTGGATCTGCTGACTCTTTGAGGAGCTGTAGTTGGTACTGGCTGGTCTTTGTTGGGACCCAGCTGCATCCTTCTCACTGTGACTGCTTTAGGGATATACATGTCTCATCTTAGTAGTGCCAAATAAACCAGTTGGGAGGAAAAATCACGTCATTCTTACCTGGGTGTGTAATATTCTAAATGAAAATTTGTAGCATTTTTGTGTTTGTTAGACCACAGCAGTCTGCCTCCTCTGGAAAAACCAACAGGACACCTCCTGCTTTAAATCCAGGTACGGTGCCCTTAACAGGAGCTAACACAGGGCAGAAAAACTTAGCACTAGAATTACTGCTGCGAGCTAGTCTGGATTTGTGGTTGATAGGAAAGCTGGGGAGAATTGTTGCCCTCCTGAAAATGTAATAGGAGTGAGTTGAGAGCTGTATCAAAAACTGGAGTCAGTTCAGATTATTTCTACAGGTGAAATCTACTTTTTTTTTTCTTGCTTCTTAAATAAAAGCAATTCCAAAGGGACTTTTTTATTCTTGGTGAGTCATCAAAATGCAGATAAACAGCATTCTTTTGGTGCTGTGCATGGAGAGCTTGGTGCCATAAACAGTTCTCTCCCAGTGCTCATCACTTTGCTTTTAGTCTTCTTTGAAATAAAATAATCCAAATTCCTGACTTAAAATCCCTTAAAAGAACAATTTATTAATGTATATCTTTGTCATATTCACAGTCTATAGGTTAAGCTACGTTTCAAACACGCTATGGTAAACAGAACTCTTGTTTGTGCATTGAGACCTATTTTTTTTATTCCATATCCCTTCTGAATCCTGCTAATCTCTCCCTGAAAATATGATTTCGCTTGGCATGTAGGAACTTTGTCCTGGTGTTCAGCGGCCAGAGAAGGAGACCCAGTAGAAAGCTTGCAGTACAGGGGTTTGGCCCCGGGTAAAGGAGCAGTCAGATAAGTCTTCAGCCTCCTACTTTACAAGGTCACAGTGAAAAAATAGGAGAGTTTTCCTGCAGTTTTCTCTGGAAATGAGTGTCTTGGATATCTGAGAGATGATGAATGGCATATGCAGATGGCAAGTACCAACCTGATTCTCTTCCGCTGAAACAAAAAGTAGGGGCAAGGTTTTCCTCCTTCTTCCACTCTCCAGCCCAGTGGGCATTGTGAGCTCCAGCTGAATTGCTGTGCCTCTGAGGAGAAAAAAGCAATTTAAATCTCTTTCCAAGCATTTTTGCTGCCAGGCACTTCTGCTAAGCATCTGAACTTCTTGTAAGCTGTAGAGCTTGAGTAATGTGCAACCCAGAAGTAAGTGTGGTACAGGAGGAAGATTTTCTGCTGAGGCCAGGGAAATAACTTCTCTGTTTTGTTTTGTTTTCTCTTCCTCCTCTCTCCCCCTCCTGCCGACCAGATCGAGAGACGTCTTGACACTGTGAGATCTGTTTGCCATATTGCACAGAAGCGATTAATTGCGTGTTTTCAGGGCCAGCATGGTACAGATCCTGAGAAGAGACATGTAAGTACCGTTGGCCGTGGCTTGCCTGCCGCGAATGCTCTGACCGCGGTCTGGCCTGCGAAGCGCGCTGGTCAGCTGCTGCGCCCGCGTTGTCCAGGGGAAGAAAACTCTGTAAAATCATCTCGCATGCTGACATGATTTGATCAAATGCTTGCTGTAATTCCCCGTCTGGATATAGTACCACAGCCTTGGAGTACCTTAGGAGTATCAGGACACTGGCTTGTTTGTGCAATGTGCTGTTCCTGAGGAGAGCAGATACTCTGCACCTCTGCCCGAGCTCCCCGTGTTTAGAATTACCTTTGTGTGCTGACATCTCCAATTAGCTGTAAATGTTTCTCTGTACACGTTTAATTTCTGCCCCTCGTTAGCAGAGCCGTAGGTAGGTTTTCTTAAAGTGGTAGAACCAGAAATAATGGACATCCATTTTCTCCTTTTATTGAACAATAGAGACCTCCTGAAAACAGGGGCACGCAGAACAGGCCTCTGCGGAGAGACAGGCGGTTGCTGAGGTCTCGGGTTAAAGCTGTTTACTTGTCTTTGACAGTAGTTGAGATACATTTTGGGCCAGTCATTCCAACCAAGACTGGAAAGAAACTGCTTTTCAAAGTATCGGAGAACAGGAGTGTTGAGGCTTGAAACTTTTTGTGGCGGTGTTTTTTGTCAAAAAGTCAGAGAATGAGCTGCATATGTGTGTAATAGAAACCATATGGAAGAAGAGAAAAGTCTTAGAGGGGGTGTACTGGGAAAGCTGGAAAGGGTGAACAGGGCGAAGCTGAGCACTGTTCCTCCTGTTCCACAGAAGAAGCTTCCTCTGACAGCTCTTGCTCAAAACATGCAAGAAGGATCTGTCCAGCTAAGTGATGAAACTCTGCTGGGGTAAGTGTTTGGCTTTCTTTGGAAGTTGTATTCTGTCACTTTATTGCCTGCAGGGCTCTAATTAGAGACTTTGGGTACACAAAGGCTGTTTTCAATCTAATGAAACTAATATTTCTGGATTCCTTCTCTAATCCAAAGGGAGAAGAAGTGAGCAAGCATTTCTTCTGGAGGGATTCTGGGGGCGAGTTTTAGGCTTGCTCTGAATTGCATGCCAGAGGATTCTGATTCTCTGCTGACTTAAAAGCTTTTGAAAATGGCCTTCCTTCTTGTGGATTAGTAGAATTATCTCCATTTAAAGTTTAAAATTTGGTGTAAATACTGCATTCCGCAGGTTTGTGTTAATGTCTTAAAATAATGCCAATTTGCATTAATGGCTTCTAGTTTAAAATAATGCCAATTTCCTTATCCTGGCAAAGTGCATATTTGCAACTTACAGGAAAGTGGCTGAAACAAATGAACGTCAACATGCTGAATTCCTAGAGCAAATGTGTTTCCTCGCTGCTGCTGGGAATTCTAATGGAGGCACTGTAGAGTGACCTTAAACCTCTGTGTGCATTTTTGTGAGCTGTTGCATGAGATTTGAACATGGATAAAAATCTTAGAGAATAGGTTTTATTCGTTGGAACAAGCTTAAAACAAAGGTCAAATCATGGTTTTGGAACCTGAGACTGCTGCATATGTGATTGCTTAGCATTATGGTCTTAAGGCATTTTCACATTGAAGGGGCTTAGGAGAAAACTAAATACTGCAGTGAGCAGTTTTCCTGCATCTAGTGAGATGGAAGGATGGGCTTTGAAATAAATACTAACTTCTCTGCCCCTAAGGCCAATATAATCACCTAAATGACACTTAAAGCCTCCAAAGATGTTGTACTGGCTAAAGAATTTTAGAAGGCAGAGGTTTAATAACATTCCTTGCCTATCCCAAATTTGCCCATGACAGCATAGGGCATCTTGGGTTTAGTCCATTAGGTGATGCCTTGCTTTATAAAATACAAAGCTTGCCAGAAGGGTAGCAGGTGACAAAGGGGCACCGCTGTTTTGTTTTGAATCTTTCTTCTTTAGTCAGTAGTAACTCACATTACAACCTCCTGTAATTCTGAAAGGAAAATGCTAGATACCTGTGGTGATGCAGAGAATAAGCTGGCAATGGAGCTGTCTCAGCACGAAGTACAAATCGAAAGAGAAGTTTTAGATCCACTGTATCAACTAACAGAGGTAAGTCACTTCAGCCTGACTGAAGAAATAAAACTATTTATGTATAAACTGAGCAAAAAACACTTAGCTCATTGCTAATAATAAAACTGTGTTAAGGAGTCATGCGTTAGTGATGGAAAGTGGATGTCCAGTCTACAAAACGTAGTTTATTGTAATACACAATCAAAAAATAAATGTAAGTCTTGCATTCATGTTCCAGACAGAGATCCCAAACATTCAGAAGCAGAGGAAGCAGCTTGCAAAGCTGGTGTTGGACTGGGATTCTGCAAGAGGGAGGTAAGAAATAATTGTAATTTCTAGGTCCTTTTCTATTCATGTTAACTTCTTGTTGGCATCTCATGGCATCTGAGCTGATGCTGGTGCTAGCTTCTGAAGTGCTGCGGTATGCATGTGAATACTTTGCCAAAAAAAGACAAACTTTTAAGTTACTCAAAAAAGGAATCATGACGACTAGATCCAGACAGAATCAAGATTTTTGGAGCTCTTGCATGCCTATACAGAATTCAAAAAATGCTGAAAATTTATTATCTTTCCACGTCACTTAAGTTGCCAGCTAGAATAGGAGGCTAATTTTGTAACCAAGCCAAGTGCTTTTACAGCATCGTGTTGAACTACCTCACTGATGGGGTCCGAGGTTATTCAGCTTACCCTTAAGTCCCTTTAAAAGGTCTTAAACTGTGGTGATAATTTATGTAGCGTTTTCTGGGATTGGGAGTTCTACCATATCATACACCCATGTTATAGACCGTGGAGAAGGCAGCATTCCTTGTGGAATTTTGTGGTTGTTTAGCTGTTTATGAATTACGCCAGCATGTCATAAATGGTGTGTTTTGAACCCCTGCCTTAGTTCTGTTGGAGAACCTCTGAAACTATTGGGTTTGTTTCTTGTCAAAAGAAACCAATTTCAAGGGAGCCATAAATGCAGATTCGTGTTTAATATTAGCTTTCACCAAACAGCTGAAGCTTTTCTTCCACAGATATAACCAAGCCCACAAGACTTCAGGAACAAATTTTCAAGTGCATCCTTCGAAAATAGAATCTCTTAAGGAAGAGATGGATGAAGCTGGAAATAAAGTCGAACAATGCAAGGTATGGTGAGATGAGTCTCTATCCTTTACATGCCTCTTCTCAGCCAGCAGTCAGCATATGGCTGCCCTGTACGCCTTCCACGAGGAACCTGCTGGCTGGTTGCTACAGTCACAAATTATGTGGCTGTTAACAAACTGTGTGTCTTAAAGGTATGTTAGTGCTACCCGGTCTCTGTCTGAATTGCTTTAAATTAACCAGGAACTTTTTTGGTTTTCTAAGATGAGGTATGTTAGTGCTACCCGGTCTCTGTCTCAATTGCTTTAAATTAACCAGGAACTTGTTTGGTTTTCTAAGTATTTGACGTTATTTTCTGTTTCAGTCTGGGGCAGGTAGGAGAAGGAACTGTCTTAGCCTTGACTGAAATGTTCAGGGTGTCCCTGTGCTTCAGGCCACTGAATAGCTGTGCAGTGCGAGCTGCCTGCATGAAATTCAAGCTGCTGACAGAAAAGGAACATTCTGACTGTTACTACATTATGCCACAGCTGAGCTGAGCACCAAAAACCTTTTGGTAGTACTTGTCTGTGTGTGCAGGGATTGGCTGTAAATAACATGTTGCTATACAACCTAATTGCTGAAGTGGATAACTGCTTTGCTATATAAAACAAGATTAGGCATTTTGAATCAGTTTTGCTTGGAAGAATACATGTTGCAGAGTAGGTGGATTACCGGGTTCCTGTACTGCCTGAATCGATAGTTCAAACTTACTGCAGGCAAGATAAACATACGTACTTCTGTGTCTGTGTGGAAGCTGAAATGCCCCTGTAAATTTGATGTACTGTTCTGTGTTCTTTGCTTTTTCAAAGGATCAGCTAGCTGCAGACATGTATAACTTTGTGTCCAAAGAAGGGGAATATGCTCGATGTTTTGTTATGGTGAGTATTTTTTCAGTACGACTTTGATTGCAGCACGTATGTGCACAGACACTCAAATCTCAAAGATTACATTTTGTGTGCTAAACCTTCTAGTCTTTTATTATGTGCTCATCAGAAGCTAATGCTCTTTTTGTTTTTAAAATGTGGCTTCTGTTCTCAGTTATTAGAAGCACAAGCAGATTACCATAGAAAAGCATTAGCAGTCATAGAAAAGGTCCTACCCGAAATTCAAGCCCATCAAGGTAAAGTAACCTGTGCTCTGGCTGATGCTTCTCCTTGCCTGTGCCACCTATGCACAATATTCTTCTCCTTTATCTTGAATCTATTGCATGCAGACTTATTTAATAAGGCCATTTTGATCTACTTAACAATTTTACATTCCCAAGCATAATTCCATCTTTGTGTTCTCTGGAGTTCTCCAGCCATATTTTAACACACTAATAAAATGTTAAGGATCTCTCTGATACTCAAGAGGGTAAAGGAAGGATTTTCCTATTTGCTTGCACTTCTTCCTTGATACCATGTGACCTTTTGCTAATTCGTACTTGGCTTTTTAGGCCCATGAAAGTTTCACTGTGATAAAGGAACTTTTTAGGGTACTTGCTTCTTGAATTATTAAAAGGTGTTTATCAGAAAAACTCCCCTTATTCTAAGGAGCTTGACTTTTTCCTATTTATGCAGCCCTTTTGCCCCGCGTGCACAGTGCACCGCAGCTGGCTGATGGAGCATTCACGTTATTGTGTTGAGTATCAGCAGCGGAGACAAGCGAGCAGCACAGCTTCAGCTCTTCCCTGCGCTGCGAAGTTTTCCCTTGTCAGTGGGAGTTAAGGAGTATCATTAATGGTGTGGGATGAAGGTGCACTGTGTGTCGCTGAAATTGCTGTCCTGAATACTGGCTGTACTGTCCCTTAATCCGCTAACTGCTTTGAGAGGTAGTAGGCTGAACAAAGTCTGAGCAAAATCTGAGCTGAGCAAGACTCAGGCATCTTCAGTTGTGGACCACATGCAAGTTGTAAAAGATGAACCATTTAAATATATAAAGAAACATGAGCATCTTGCTGAGAGGTGATCTAGAATATCTGTGCTCTGTCGATCTGACGGGAGACGAGGTACTGCAAACAAGGGAGGCTTACACAGCACCAGGGCTGCGTTGTGGCTGCGTGGAAGGTTCTCTGTTTGTGGGTGGGACTGCTTTCAATGTGGTAGTGGTGCTTAGCTGCTTGGTACAAACTTTTCGTATCACCAGTGCTGCAGAAGAGGTTAGCCTTCGGGGAAGGTTGGCTGGGAGACATGGTGCTGAGGTGGTCCAGCGTCTGAGCTCTCAGTGTGTGGCATTGCTTCTGTTGTTTCTAGCTGTCCCGTAAACTCCTGTGACTTTGAAGAGTTACGAAGATTTCTCTTCCTGGTGTTTGCTGTAACTTGCAAAGCTGGGGAGAACGACGTGTGCTTCTCGTGGTGTGTTAGCGAAGGAGAGGAACTAAAGCCTCCTGAGGGGTGTAGGTGTAGCTGGTGCGGTTTTGTAAACAAAAAGGGTAAATTCAATCCTTTGCAGAAACACGTGGTGTCTTCAGAGGACTCTTTCAAAGTCTTCATCTTTCTTGACCTTTTTCCACATAAAAGAAACAATGCATCTGTACTAACAGTAACCTTTACATCTGCATTTTTTCAATTAAGAAAGAAGAAATGGATGAAAAAGAAAATTGTAGGAAACAAATTCGTATGCGGTTTGGAGAAACTTGTGCCAATTTTGACTTTCAGCGTTAAGGAACAATCAAGAAATTGAACTGAAAATTTGTCTAAGGGTTACAGTGATGGGCTGTTCATGGGGTAATTCGCTGAGGCTGTTAACATCTGTTTTAAGTCGCCAATTTCTTAAACCAGCAATAACCTTTGTGTTAACAGTTCAGTTTTTATCCACCTTAAATACAGTTAAAACTGAGGTCAGCCCAGGTCATGCAATCTGGACAAAGTTTTTCTCAGAGATTCTTGCAGACTTAGGCGTTTTGGTGCCTTGGCAAATCCGAACTCGTGTAATTACAGCCGTGTGGTGGCACTTGTGTTGAGGCCTGCTGGGACGTGCACTTCCAGTTACACACTGGATGTCCGTCTGGTATTCCATTCAGAAAGATGCAGAAGTGTTTTTTTTCCTTGAACGCCAGCAGGCTCATTTTCTCTTACTGATGATATAAGGGACTTTACTAATCAAGGGCTGTAAAATTCCTACTGTATTCTGAATATTTCTGTGCTGTGCTGGAGGCTTTCTTCTTGTCTTGTCTGCGACATAATTCCAGTGTTTGTTAGATGTTTTGCTCAGTGTTTTGATGCTCTCCAACTAGACAAATGGACTGAAAAACCAGCTTTTGGAACTCCATTAGAAGAGCATCTCAAGCGCAGTGGTCGTGAAATTGCAGTCCCGATCGAAGCCTGTGTAATGATGCTTTTGGAAACGGGAATGAGAGAGGAGGTAGGTAATGCCACAGCGCGTGCAGTGGAGGACAGGGAGAAAAGCTCAGTCAAACTCACGGACCCCTTTCTGTACTTTTTAACAAGTTGCTTAAGTGATTTTGTTCACTAGTGTGCACAGTAAATCTTTTGCAACAGAATAACCTTCGGCACTATCTGAAGTATCTTTGAGATGAATGCACCTAGAATGAAAAATGAGGAATGAGCGAAGGGTGAGAGTATCTAAAACATGATCAGGCGGCAGTGGCAGATAAAGAGCCACCTAGGTCAGAACAATGTCAGGTGAAGACACCGAACGCCAAACAGTTCTGAAAGAGGCTGTCATGAACCTTCTGCTGTTTCATGCTTGTACTAACACATTGCTACCAGTCAACTACATTTGATTTTTATTACGCAGGGCTTATTCAGAATTGCTGCTGGAGCCTCCAAGTTAAAAAAGCTGAAAGCTGCCTTGGACTGTTCAACTTCCCAGCTTGATGAATTTTACTCTGATCCCCATGCTGTTGCAGGTATTGTCAATGTTCTGAATCAAAACCAGGTTTAAACTGATACAGCACAAGTTTATGCTGTTCATTTAACTGTTGATTTGCTGAAGTGTAAGGTGTTGATCTGTGTGCAGATAAACTATGAATGAAAATAAATTGAAAGATCATTTTGTTGCACAGCTTAACACAGGTAAATAAAGGGTGCGCATGCTCATCACACCTGATGTGTTCGTGTCTGCACGACAGAGCCGTGTTTAAAATTTCAGGTGATCATAGTAATCCAAATATACTATTTCCTCTCATGACAGGAGTGTTAACATGATCAAGGGAGATCAGAGCCACGTGTAGGCCTTTAATGAGGTCTTTGTTCCGAAGAGGTGATGCAGCTTTATGCTACGTGTTTCAGTCAAATGGCAGTAATTACTGGAAGACCTTTTGTGTTAGGTGTTGAGCAGCTCTGCTGTGGAAGCGCCAGGTCTCCCTGCTGTCTCGCTGGAACTTGGGTCCTATTGCGTAGATAAAATGGCAAACCTGAGGACGGAAGTTTAAATGAAGACAGGAAGCCTTGGCGAAGAAGCTAGTCTGTTTCTGGTCTGCATTGCAGGTGCCTTGAAATCCTATTTGCGGGAGTTGCCAGAACCTTTAATGACCTACGGGCTGTATGAAGAGTGGACACAAGCTGCAAAGTAAGCATACTGACAATAGTTACGTAGGAAAACTTTCTCCATATTTTTATCAAATTTCGTTCTTCACCTACGAGTTCAAAAGAAAAGACCAAGCTCACACAATTTACTTTCTCATTTCTGTTCTAACAGGCAAATATTTTGTGTAACATATTATTTTAAATTTTGTTGTTTAGCTGAATACTAGTTGCACAAAAATGCAATGAAATACCTATTTTCTGTATAAACAGAAGGGCTGCTTCAGACATTGGCTGCATAGTATTGATGCTGAAGCAGTTTTGTTTCGTTGCAGGTAGAGGTAATTCGGGGGTTTGACTAGCAGGTTACTGAATTACCAAATGCAAAACAGTGCCTTTATTTGGCGTAAATGGGAGATGATACAGTCTTCTCTCTGTTCACTGCAGAAACAACAGTTTTTTGATTTGAAAACAAGACATAACGGATTTTTTTTTTTCCCTTTCAGTATTCAGGACCAGGATAAGAAGTTACAGGAGTTATGGAGAATTTGTAACCGACTACCTAAGCATTATCATGCTAATTTCAGGTATGCATGAACATCTGCTGGCTCGAAGCACAGCTGCTTTGGTGCTGGAGTGCCACATTTCAAAGCTGGTTAGCCAAAACTGTGATCCAGGTTTTTATCTTGGCCAAATTCAGTTAGGTTTGTAAAAGGACATCCTGTTTTATCTAGTAGTTGGTGTGCATTGGTGGTGGTGGAGGTTTTCAGTTAAGTTGTTTCACTATTGATGGTAATGGAATAGTGATGCATAGAACCCTTCTACTTAAGGGCCATGCTGTTGGCAATAGTTTTTTGATTTTATTTTTTTCTTTTTTTCACCAGCTGTGCTCTTGTATTTTTCAGTCTTAGAAATGACCTGGATGTATCTTACACATGTTATTTTTCATTTTGTTTTTGCCTTTTGGGAATGAATCGGAGCAAAACCAACTCTGACTTGTAGAAGTGCGGAAATTCCATTACAGGGTAGAAAAATAGCTGTTGAATAGGCATTTTCAGTCTAAACATTTTTTGTGAAAATACAATAGTTCTGTAGTTCCATTTTGAGAAGGTGGGAGGTGCTTTCCTCTCTACCCAGTTCAGCTGCTGTGATTCATGAGTAGAAGCTTAGTAGCCAGCCACCAGGCAAGAAGGCTGTTCATCTTGTTCCTGTTTGTTGGGAGCTGTCTTTACAAGTTCCTCAATTTTTACTTAGTTGCTTTCAACAAGAAATGCTTTTAGTTCCTGCTGTTTAATTATTTCTTTCCTTTTTGTAGGTATTTAATCAAATTTTTAGCAAAGCTTGCACAGAACAGTGATGTTAACAAAATGACACCCAGCAATGTCGCAATAGTCTTGGGCCCCAACTTACTGTGGGCGAAGAACGAAGGGTGAGTTGTTTGGGGAGAGCTGTGAAGCAGAGCTTCCATAGAACTGTAGAATTTCTGGTCAGATTGTTTCAAATCCTGTAGGCTGTTCAGAGCAACAGACTGTTTGCCTAAAGAGTATTTCAGATGTTCTCTCAGCCTGTGCCGCCAGATCCTTCTGGGCGTGCATCTTTTTAGGAGTGCATTAAAATGCTATAAATGTTCCTGAATAGCCTAGATTTCATCGAAGTGTGACGTTGCTCTTTACGTGGTACTTAGGAGTCCTGATACATCATGCGTAGCAGAATTTGCCATTTAGGTAATATGGTTTTTTTATATTTTCTTACTTTGATAGAACTCTGTATAAAATGTTCTACAAACTTCTTCTGCAGATCCCTTGCTGAAATGGCAGCAGCGACTTCAGTCCACGTGGTAGCAGTGATTGAGCCAATTATTCAGCACGCAGACTGGTTCTTCCCTGGAGGTAAATTCTTGCCATAGTTAAAAGCATTTTGTATTTGCGATAACCCTATGCCAGTAAACCTCCAGTAGCTTTTTGCAGTGAGGCACTATTTGATGTATGTATGTCTTAGGATGCATTCTCTCT